ATCCATAGAGAAATAAATTATTGTATGATATCGAAATTCTTGTATGAAAAATCACTGTTTCTAAATTGTTGTCAAAAAGTCAATCTTATACATACTTAAAACTAGGGAATAGAAGTAATTCGTTACTTCTAACGAAGTTACAATTACAAGTTACTTTTTTGATAATTTTACTGATAACTGTTACATTTTTTTGGTAACCATAACATAGTTACACTTTTTTGTAACGGTAAGTTACTTATGCGCTTGAGACTAGACATCCGTCCGCTGTGATTGGTGATCGTTGATTTTAAAAAAGTAATGGAAAAGTAACGAAAAGTTACTTTCTCAAATAACGATAACTATAATGAGTTATTTTTAAAAATTAATAACTAATAATTTGTTACTTTTTCTACGCGGCAATGAATAACTGTAACTTGTTACTTTTCATTTCAAAAAGTAACTTTCAATTTCCTGCTTAAAATTTATATAAAAATTATTTAAACCTTTATGAGAAGTGGGAAGTATTGCACAGGATGATCTGACTAATTGAGTCATCGAATTTGAATCCTCAATGTTGTGCAATTTAATAAAAATAACTTTGCAAAAAATAATCATTACAAATTCATGAAAATCAACTTTTTTAAACTTTTAACGCATCTTTAAAACAATATTTTTGCACTGATACCGAGAGTTCTACTGACATATAAAACAAACTATAAAACAAACTATAAAAAGTCAGTAAAATGTATTTTTTTAACAAAAATTATTGATGATTGAAAACTCAATTCAAAATTTTGAAAATTTATACAAATCAAGCACATTATAAAAAACATTTTGTCTCTCTTATGTTTACTTTTTGTAAAGCTTTTAGTTTCGGAATTAAAAGATTTTTTAGAAAAAGTGAATTTTTACATATAATAAGATATTTTTGCAAAAAATCATAGCAACTTTTTTGAAAAGTATTTTATAAAGCTAGAAAATCTACTTTAAAATATTAAATTTTGTCCAAAGATATTCCATCCAAATAAAAAATCTTCAAAAAATGATAAAAATATTGAAAAAATAAAAATTTTCCATTTTATGTAATTAAAAACAAAATATTATAGAAGAAATTCTAATGCTAGATTGAAATTATTCTTCCTCTTAAAAATACATTAAAAAAAATTCTCTTCTTTTTTTGCACCGAGATACCTAATTAAATTTTTGTGAAATGAAGAGAGAAAGAAAATCGAAAACATTCCCGAATTTATGAATATGAATATATATGAGCAAAGATATTTTATTAAAGATATTTTATTAAAGATATTTTATTAAAAGAAAAGAAAGAAGTTTTGAAATAGAAACATTAATCATGTTCATTGTTCATCGACATTGACTTTAATAAAATTTTTATTAATAATTATTCAAGCACTGCCTCTCTATTCTAATAAAGATAGAATTTATATGAAAGACAAATGAAAAAGAGAAAGAAAAAGAGAGAGAGAGAGAGAGGCCAACTTTGTATTATTAATAATAATTAAAAAGTGTATTTCTTAAGTATTTATGTTATTTGGTCCAATCTCTGTAACAACTTATTGTCTAATATTTTTATTCATAAATGTTTATTTATAACTGTAGTATTGTTATTTATTTGAAAAACCTATACAAGTCACTTACATCATTGTAATATTTAGGCCACAATGCTCTAATTTGGGAGCTACCTCCGAGATCATATATTTTTACAGAATATGATTTATGCTTTAAGGATACCATTCGGAATCCCATTGTGGGCAATACATTCTGATCTGGATCTACAGTAAAAGTATTAAAAGTATTAGACCAATCATACATGTTTAAGTAACTTATCAAGTTGTCAAGTACACTTGTTTAAGTTTATTGAACATGCTGATCTGCAATAACTGTGTATCTAGTTTTGATACACAGATATTCCAATAAACTTGTACAAACAGATTACACACATTGCATACTTGACAGTTTTGAATGTATGGTCTTATGCAGAAAAAAATTGATGTGACAAGTTTCCTTTTTGTTTGGCTTTACAATATTTTTAATTTTTAAAAAAATTTTTTACCGCCACTAATATGATTTAGTATCGTAGACTTTCCAGAATTATCCAATCCCATAATAAGCAGAACAATAGTCCTGAAAAATAAAGAGAAATATAAATACAAAAACATTTCCTTTCCTCTCTACAATACATACTTTTCCGAGGCGCGATTTCTTCGCAGCCTCCTTAGCACGCTTCTGAAGCAGTTGTTCATCGCAGGAAAAGAGATTTGTGATCCCATGCTTCTCACAATTCACCTTAATCGCGTCATCATTCATCGCGAATAATTCCGCATAATCGGCGTTGTGCGTTCCATGAATCTTTTTACATCATTAAATCGGTTAATATCGCGTATCAAATTGATGCAAACTAAATATTTCATAGGTCTTTATTTACACTGATCTGTGACAGAACGGATTAGGTTAGGTTAGGTGATACGCAGGGTTTCCAACCTTTTGAGATTTTCCTACACGAACACGTCAGGGTCACAGTACAGTAGCGCAACTCTCTCTCTCGGCACCTTTGTTAGTGTTGTCAAAATGGAGTGCGCATGCGTGAAATAAGGAATTAGGAATTAATAAACGATTTTAACTCATCAGAAATTGAAATACACGATTTCTTATATATTGAAAGCGTTCATTCTTTCTAATTCCTTATTCTTTTTATTATGCATAGAGTCTTAGTCGTAAAAGATGAAATCTGACCAATCTAAATGCTCGATAGTCGATACAAAAAATCAAGAATATGCGCACGACAACGGGTGCATTCGGGGAGACACTATTCGCGCTATGGACGCAAACGTTATGCTGTTCTTGGAGTCAATAATGTTAGCAAGCTCCATGAACGATCCTAGCATAGCGTTGATAGAGTTTAAGCGTTAAGCGTTTAACCAGAGAAATATATTCGTCGAGGTTAAGTTAATGTAGGAGATTCTACTTTCATCACCAATCACCAACCAAACTTTTCTCTATAATTAAAGGTTTTGTAACGTAAATTTTATTTTCTTGCAGTGAATAACAGAATGCAATCTCAATTGCAATCTCTATGATAGCTTGCCGCTAGACCGAAGTGAACAATGTAGAAACTAGATCAAAAAATTAATAGTTACACTAAATAAATTAATTTTTTAAAAGGAAGAACTCTTGAGCATTCACTGTCGATTTCAGAAAAAGAAACATATCTACATCTAATAAGGATTTTAAGCATCTGCAGCGGAATATCCTGCCGCGCTATATCGCAATACTAACTTTTTTTCCGTATATAGGAATTAAAAATTGCTATAACAAGATACCTCTGACTTTCACATTTATAATAAAATTAAATACACAAGTTGTACTTCGCAGAAACTTTGAAAAGTTAAAGATGATACACAAGCAAGAATTACGTTCACTCCAGCCTAGCGCAAGCCATCAGCAGAGATTAAAATTGAGATTGCATTCATCATGATAAAATTTGAAATTCACACATTACGTACATACGTTTATTCTACGAAATTCTAAGAGAAAAAAGTTTGGTGACACACGAGAATAGAATCCCCTTAAACATTAATCTAACTTTGACGAGTATTAAATACCAATGCTACGCTAGGTTCACGGATCTGTAAACGTTAACGCTATTAATACACTGTCTCGAAAGAAATAACGTTGATAGCGCGCAGTTGTGACGTAACACGCTCCCATTAGTGACGTTATAATCATTATAAGTCGTGTTTGTTAGCGTTATCTACAGCTCCGCGAACAGTTTGCAGTGCTAAATAGCGCGAATATCTCCTCAAACGCACTCAATGTCTTCCGATTAATTGTAGATTAGACCTAATAAAGTCAATGTTTATGGAAGTTCGTGTTACTTACTGAAATTTAAGATTAAGATTTATGATTAAGAGTAAGGAACTAATAGGTACTAATTTCATGATTTATTAGTTTTGTAGACATGTACATGTTTAAAAATTTAATAATACTCGAGTTTTATTTAAAACTGTGATTTTAATGTTATCATCTTTGATTATCAAGACAATAACTGTAGAGAAAAAAATTGTAATTTTTCGGTAATATATAGGATATTGTAATACTAAAAGTATGCATATTTATTTATGCAGCATTTATATAATAAAAGATCACAAATTTAATAATGTATTATCGAAATATTTAATCATAAATTAAAAAATCATATAATCATAAATTTTTATTAATTGTCGGTTATCGTTTTTTATTATTCTGATTATCCCCGAGCCCTATTGATAGTCACGAAAATTTGTTTAGGACCGAAGGTCGTACCTCATCGATGGTAATATTTAAGAATTCTATCTTTTCACTGATTTTAATGAAATTAAGCTCATTCGATGCGTTTTTGTATGAAATGAATGAATGTGGCAAAAATAATGATGCTCTGCTCCCTAGACCATAATAATCGTTGAAGTTAATGACTATTTAAATTAGAAAAGCTATCACATCGATGGCATAGACATGAGAACATGTAAATGAGGCTAGAATAAATATTTCCTGCTTTAATTTCATCAATAGGTGAGAAAGGCAGATTACGTTTCGATTGGTCGCTAAGATACGCGCACGCGCCACTACATTTATAATTTCTTATGGACCTATGTAAAGTATCCTAAACTGCGTTCGATTTGCACGCTCACATGCTGTAAACGCTTATGCTTATGAATCTTGTTTTTTGGTTTCAATTTGATTTGTCAGTGTTCACATTAAATAAGTGAAGCCGTTCACTTTTTGGTTATTAAGCGTTAAGTTTGGACACATAATTGATGATATCATTGATTATAATTGATTGATTGCAATTCGTTTCTTGTATATTAAAAATACAAGTTTAATTTTAATATAATAAAAATGAAATTTTAATAAATATCTGTTTAAAATAATATCAATGAGACATTTGCTTATAACAAATAAAAATTTATTCAAATAGAGAGTGTTAAAATATGCACACAATCCAACATATTCGTTAAGCATTTCTCTAATCATGAAAAAACGTGCATGTATCTAATCTACTAAAGTTAGAATCGAATATGCTCATATTTATTTTGGCTAATAATAAGTACTTATTTGCGCTCACGCTTTTTTGCTGCCCTATTTCAATGAAGTATTTGTGAGCATTAGTATGACGTCACAGATGACGTCATGAACGCATTTCTGAATGCTTACATGGCCAAAGCGAACAATGTAAGCAATGCTTATAAGTGCTTAAAACGTGACAGCGAGTCGGGACAGCAGTTGCGCTTATGATGAATGTAGCTTCTCTCATATATAGGACTCTAGCCATGGTCGCTTCTAGTTGCATAACGAAAAAACGCCATAAATATATCTAATACTAGATGGCTGACTCACCTATAGACTATACATAAAATTCCAAAACCTATGTATTACATAGCGTGATGTAGAAATAAAACGGTTAATAGTCACATAATGTGTAATAGCCGCGATAGGGCCACATCAGCCACATATTTGCATGATGTTCGTGTTTTTACGTTAAAAATTACAATGTCGATTGATATCTTGCCATGTGAAAAGTTATCACAGTTTAAGTGAAAAAATCCGGAGATAATAGGTTTATTCGCGTTACTCGCACTTGTACTGGCATCTTCGCTTTCTCTCTTTTCAAAGCCAAAAGTATACCTATTTCATTTTAAGTGCAAAATATTTTAGGATTTCATGCAACGCGAACAGACCTAATATTTCGTAGGTAAGTTGCAATCAATTCTAAGTATTGTTGGTTTTGTTTCTCGGGAACTGCGACATTCGTCGTAACAATCAATGTCAAATGTCATATGATGGATGTCGTACGTAGTGTGAATCCTATATTACAAGTACACTGGGTTTATTTGGAGCGACCCCGAGCAGCTCCCGAGAGACAAAACGAACAATACTATTGTTACGATGAATGTCGGGCGTCGTATGACGGATGTCATACATAATATATACAGTTTATATGTATGTACTATTCTCGCACATAAAGCTGAGGCTCGGCTCATCAGCCAATCACGTTCAACAGACATGCTCACGAATGCCAGTCCGACAACTGCGCCATCCATTGACTAGTAATCTCAAATATATCAGGGCCATAAGTCGCTCTACTAGCCTTATACATGTATCTGTATACATTATATGAATATAGTCTTTAAGTAAGTATATAGTATTAAGTAAGTATATTATAGTAAGTATTAAGTGAATATAAATTGTAACTTGAATAAATAATATCATCAATAGCTTATTTAATATACATACGTCAAAATATTAATTCAAAGGAAATTATTTTAATCGAGAAGTTAGTTCATTTGTTTTATTCACAGCAGCCTCGATAGCATTCATCATAGATCCCCTGTATTCAATTATTAAGATAAATCTCATGATTATTTAGAAATTAAATCATTACATGATCGTAACAATCATATCAACCATGGTTCTCTCATTAATTGTTGAGAACAATTTTTTAACGATAGAGAATTTT